ATCCTTAAACCTAAATTGAGAAACTAATTTTCTTTTTAGGTAACTTCCAATTTGAAACTCGACTTCTAAATTAGAAAACTGATTTCTAAAATAGAAAACTTTTCATTGTCGAAAACTTTTCATTTCGAAACATTTCCAAAATAGGAAACTTTTAAAATTGAAAACTCTTTCCAACATCTTTGTTTCTTTTTTATTATGTGAATGTTTAAAATTATGCATGTGACTCAATAGGCTCTTAGATATATTGACAATTTCAAAATTAGATATATTGATACATAAATTAGGATTGGCCTCTAGCAAAGTATCATGACTACCCAATTTTCTAAGAGAATTAATAATCTTCAAATTACCTTTCATGAGCATGGTTAACATATAATTCATTCCTTATGTTAATTTATCATAGTGTGATCTCAAACTAGATTATTATTTTATTTGATTATAATCACATAAGTTTTCTTTGATTCTCAAATCTCTTAGCTCTTAGAATAAACCAACTATATTCAATTGGTGTACTCTTATTATGGTCACAGATTTCTTGAGCGGACATTTATCGAAGTGTCATATGATAACTCCTTTAGCATATAAGGAATGACATGTCCTATCTTAGTCATCCACCTATCTCCATTAAATTCCTAGTACACCCAACAAATTATCCACGTGCAACCCTTTACCGGATCCATTGAAACAAGCGTCAAAGCACATAAATTCTCTAATGAGATAATCATGATAACTTCAAGTCAAAGGATCGGTTATACCCATCTCGTATGAGATTCTCGTAGACTAAACCAAATAGGTTCTCATGATGAGTCAAGTCTAGTCATATGTTATCTAACATAAATCAACTAAGTGCTTTCTTTGGCATCACCATGCTAATAGATGTGAGATCTTCTACTGCTATCTTATAGTACTCACATAGCATTCACAAGTCTAACCACATAAAGTCAATGTTCATTCTTGACAATGCTATGACTTGGGACATTTAATGATATCATTTAAGTATATTAATAATTATCTCACATCTTTTAATCAATCATTAATGCAAATGTCTATCATGTGGACTAATATTTAATTCTATTCAATAAATAAATATAAAAAATAAGAATTAATAGAAAGACTTCTTTTATTATTGATAAAATAAATAATACAATATTAGAATAACTCAAAGCATCCAATCAAGGTTGGATCTTGAGCACCTACACTAAGAAAATAAATAGTTGAAAATCTTTAAAAAATAGATTACTTGGACTACTAAAATTTTTTACATCATCTTGATTTCATACAAAACAATATGAACTAGAGGTTCAAAAGATAATTTAGTTACAAAATCTTGCAAATCAAGCTGTTAGATGCATCCTAATATCTAAAAAGAGTAACTACATGCATGTCGCTACTCGCTAGATGCATTCTAATATCTAAAAAGAGTAACAAAATGCATATCCCTACTGCTAGATGCATTCTCATATCTAGAAGAGTAACTAAATGCATATCCCTACTAAAAATCTTCCTATTAGAATTGATTTCCTAGAAGGATAATCTATTAATGTCATAGCAAATGAATCTAAAACACGTCCGAAGCATGAAAGACCGATCGGTTCTAAAGATAAAAATCTCTAAAAAAAGAGAGCAAATAATCAAGATAAAAATATAAATGATGCAAATATTCACATAACGGTTCAAGTAATTTTTGATAATAAGCTTTCGGGAGAAGTCTAAATACTTGAGAAAAATCAAGAGATGTTGATAAATTATGTCAATACATGAAGAAAATAGGACCGAAAAGAATATTTATTAATAACATTTTTACATATAATGTTGTAATTGATATTTTAAATAAAAATAAAGTTTCGAGCCTAAATTTATTAAAGATTGTCGACATAGAGATGATTAGCTTAAATGAAAAAAACAATGCGGACATAATTATGTTCTCTTACAAAACGAGTAGTTTTTTAAACCATAATCAAAACACCTAAAGATGTTAAGCTAGTGAGATGCAAATGGGTATTTAATGGGTATTTGTGTTAAAAAAAAAAAAAAAAAAAAGAAAGGCAAGATTGTAAGATACAAAACAAAACTTGTAACATAAAAGCTTTTGCAAAGACTTGATATTTACTATGAGGAGACATATTCTTCCGTAATGAATGTAATTATATTTTATTATCTTGTTAGCGTGGTAAAATATATATATATATATAAAACTTCATATGTATTTTATGGATGTGATCCCAACTTATTTGTTCACTTGAAAATGATATCTATATGAAGGTTCTTAAAGGACTTAAGATGCCTAAAGCATGTAATGCACATTTTTTAAAAATATATTCAATTAAATTATAGAGATCTCTATAAGGATTATTTTAGTATTTGATTTATTAATTTAATTTTTAAAAATTTGATTTATGCTATACTTTTTATATTTTATTTGTTAATATCTACTATTTATTACTAATCTAATCGAATGTGGTATAATCACTTTAATGAATAATTATTATAAAAGTTTATAAGAATAACCATACTTGTTCATATACTTTTATTAAAAAGAAAAAATGAAAAAGAGTTTGTGATAATTGTTGTATATGTTGATAATTTAAATATTATTGAAACTTCCGAATAGATTCAAAATGCCATAAGTTATCTAAAAAGAAAATTTGATATGAAAGGCCTTGAAAAATAAGATTTATCTCGGCCTATAGTTCAAGCACTTAAAAGATGAGATTTTTATTCATCAATCAATTTATATAGAAAAAATTCTACAATGCTTTTATGGATAAAAAATAAAAATAAAAAACTTCTACAATGCTTATATATATATAGATAGCGCACAATCGGTAATTAAACAAATAGAAAATTAACATTAGTAGTTAATAGTTAGTTGTACATAAAAAAAAACGTATTACTATGATGAACTAAAACAGAGTATAAGGTTGTGTTTGTTTTGGAGAAAAATAATTCCATCAACTTGTTTTCCTTATTTTGTTCTATTTTTCGATGTTTGTTTTGCATTTAAGAAAAACATTAACGAGAAAATGATTTTTAGTCAACGAAAAATGATAAAGTATTTTTGAAAAAATGTTTTCTAAGTTAAAAAAGAGGAAAATATTTTTCCTCTCTCTCACGAGTTGTCTTACTCTTGCATTACTCACCTCTCTTTCGATATATTTTAACAATTTTTTCTCTCGTCGCCTTTTTATTTAAAATATATTAAATTAATTTTTAATTATTTCTTATAATTATAATTAATTATTTAATTATTTTTTCTCTATTTCTACTAACATTTGATTTTTTTATTTATAAATACATTAAATATTCTTAAAAACCATTTTTACACTTAAAATTATGTTTATAATAAATATTTTAATAAGTTACCTCTATATTTTTTACCATTATCTTAAACACCACCTAAATTATACTCAAATGATTGAAAATGATTATTACAAAGCTGTAATCATTTGTGAAAAATTTAAAACTAATTAATTCATTAATAAATATATTATTTTCTAACACTATTCATTTGCAACTAAATCAATAATTAATTACAAATTATTTCAACATTAATATTTTGAAACCAAATGAACAATTATCTACAAATGATAATTAATAATTTATAAAACTATTTTTTAGACTAAATTATCCGTTTAATTTTCAAAAAAAGATCTTAATTAAGTTCCCAAAATTACAATATTAGGATTACTTGGAAATCTTTTTTATTAAATGTGAATATTGACTTGATTTTATCTCAAGCGAGTTTTGATGAATTGATTTGATGGTTAAAAATATACATTTTATTTTTTGATTTTTTGATTTTAAATCTTAGAGTCAATATTTATAAAAATTTATTAAATTTTTCTAAATACATATTATATTGTGAAATTGTGGATATGGCTTATTGAAGTTCCTCAAAACTCATTGATGTAATAATCATCATCTGTTTTTATATTTCGGTTTTACGTATCAAACAAATACTGAAATATATTTTTCATTAATTTTTTCATATAATTGTCAAACGTCGGAAAATATTTTTTTGAAAAACAATTTTCTGAAAAATAACTTCTCTAGAATTGATTTTCCTATTGAAAGTCTGTTTTCCACTAAATAAACGAAGATTAAAAAAAAAATCGTATTACTATGATAGATTAAATTGATCACTGCCACAATCCAAAACGAACATAAAGAAAAATTATATTATTACGATAAACTAAATTGTATACCATAATAATCATCCACAAAATTCAATTAACAATACAATCTGGTTATTACACATGACATTAAGAATAATCAAATTTTTACTAGTAAGAGCAGGAAACGACATCTACCATTGGATTTTTTTCTTTTCAAAAACACACAAATTGGTTAATCACCTAGACTAACATTTGAGAAGAATGGAGCAGCATACATTTGAGAAGAATTGAGTTGCAGGAGTCTTAATCTAATGTTTTAGACGAAGTGATAGATTAGTGCTAGTTGAACTAAAATTTTGATTAGCAGATTCTTAAAACATTACATCTCAGGAGAAAGAACGAACAAACAGTCCATCACACTGGCTATAAACTTCTCATGAAATGTTAATGGTGGCCAAATAATGATTTGCTCAATTAACTTTTGACTTGAAAGCATAAACGTAGAAATGATACATTTCAATCATGGACCCAAAGACCAGTCCAATATGTCTGAAAATCAAGTTCTCCTAACCAGTTCAAGAAATATTTTCGCCTGCAACTAAACTCTTAACTACAGCTTTACAGTGGAAACTGTGAATGCCCATGCCACATTTGCCTAAAGTAGCACAAGCATCACAATAGTATACAAGGTTGTGCCACAAAAATTAAATTGCTCTAAACTTCTTTTCTTCTGTCCCATCAAACGGAGGCAAATATACCTTTGTATCCAGACCTGGGGTTGGTATTTGGTGCCTCTCACCCATTTTTTTTTTTTTTTATTACTATTATTGCCTAATTTAAGGGCAGCAGCCACAACTTGGAGCATCTAAATCAGCTAAAAAAATTTTATTGAGCTTTTCCAAGAGTCCTGCTAGATGCGCCATGCAACAATTTGACAAATCCAAGGAAACTCAACTTTCCATCAGTGTGCCGAATCCAATCATGCAGAACAGAATGAACAGGAACAGAGGGGCCAAGGCCAAGTTCCTGAAAAAGGAGATTGGTTAGTGTCTGCTTTTGACATGCCATATTCATGCCCTAATGCTTCAATAAGACAAGTTTAACACACACACACGCACAAAAATGGCATAGATGCATCATGAGCAGACCAAAAGGTCAACCACCACCACTTTGTGAAATAATTCATTCGAAGAACTGACGAGTTGTTAACAACAAAGGATGAATAAAACAGTTAAAGCCACATCTAAGGTGCAAATTTTGTGCAGGTAACAGAATGCTGTAACTAAATATCTAGCAAGAAGCCTATGTGCAAAAAAATTCTTTGTAGGATCAGAGAGAGAGAAAAACATACCGATGCCAGCTCCTCAATGATAATGGCCCTGTTCCCATCCTTCTCAAACAGTTCATAGGCACAACGGGCATGTTGCTCCCATCTATCAAGGGCCTCTAGCTGATGGATGCTTAATGCAGCTGCGCAAAATTCCTCGAAATCCATCCTTCTGTATTGAAGTGCATTGAGCTAGACCAAAACAAGAACCAGTTGATATTGAAGATTAGAAACCACAAAACCATAAAAGACAATTTAAATAGCTAACACAATTGAAACACCTACAGATGCTAGAAAATCAGGAATCCGTGATGACTTCATGGCATCTGTAGCATTTTTCATCAAGGCCTGACCATTAAAAGAAGTATTATCATAGAAACCAACAAAATGAGTTAAAAAAGTAACAAAAACTACAACACTCAAAAAGCAACCAACCGCTTTGATATTTTCTAAGCTAATAGTGCCACTTTTGCTTGGTTCTAAGAGCACAAACTGCTCCTTCAAATAAAATAGCTCATCCACAGTCAACGTTTTAGATAGAGCCTGCCAAAATACCAACAAAAAAGTTCAATACGATATTGTAAGAATATAATCATCAAGGATCAAAGCTACACAAGAAACTCCAACTAAGCCTTCAAATTACTTAATAATAACCAATTGTAAAAAATATTACATGACTGTTCAATGACAACCTTAAGAAAATAATTCCTAAAATGCATTTCTGGAGCCCATTAGAATCATTAATTAGCAAGTGGCAAGATGGGCATATCTTAAGAGTTACAGTTGTAATCCATAAACTATATAATTGACATTAAAATTTTGATAATAGCAAAATTGAAATGTATCAAACAAACTTCTGGCTGACATTTCTGTCTCTAGCAAAATATGCACTTTCAAATTAAAATATAATCTACATATACTGTGCATGAGTCATCCAGTAAAGATGATATCGCCTGCATTAACGCATAGTGACACCTTCACAGCCACTCAACGTAAGTATACATTAGCAACATAGCAAAAATAATGAGAAGTTGTATGGAGCTTTAAATGAAAAGTTATGCTTCGCACTTGAGTAGACAGCATCAAAGTAGATTACGAAACAATCTCATTGGTAAATAGCATTACGAACCCTTAAAGCAGCTTTTCGAAGAGATGATGAGCGCAAGTAAGCTTTCAAGAGTTTGAGTATCAATATATCCAGAGGCACTTTAACATCATTAGAATTTTTAATCCAAGGATGGCCTGCAACAAATAATGGTAAATATTAATTCAGATACAAGAAAACCAACAGGGAAAGTTTTATCAGCAGTCAAGACATTTACTTAGTGCTTGGGAAGCAGTCAATCTTTTTCGCGGGTCTTTATTCAATAGGCGCCGGACAAAGTCTTTTGCCTCGGGAGAAAGAGAAGGCCAAGGTGTCTCATCGAAACTTGGATCAGCTTTCAGAACAGCACGAAAGATCCCAGATTCGGTCCTGGCCCAAAATGGACGGCTTCCGCACAACAAAATATATGCAATCACACCAATACTCCAGACATCAGCCTCTGTACCATAAGATCTATGTAGAACTTCAGGTGCTACATAGTATGCACTACCAACAATGTCATTCAACCTTTCATCTGCAGATAAAGAAATATTTTAGAAACCACTAGTGAATTTATGGAGCTATTGAAAACAAAGCAACCAACTACATAACAGAATAATGACCAAGTACAAACCTGGCTTTACAAAATCTGACAAACCAAAATCTATGGCCTTCAATTGAGAGTTTTCATCCTTTGATGTGAACAAGAAATTCTGATCCAGCAATCAGCTACACTTAGATAAGAATACATGAATAACAAAATGCAAATATGCATGCAGTAAGAATGAGCAATAATTCCAGTTCTCCACCAAAAAGTAATGACCAATAAATTTGCAAGAAACAGCCCAACCTGGGTCTGTTTTTTCTTCTTTTTTTTGTCTCAGTTTTTTTCACTTCTAATTCCAGGAAAATCTTTATTGGTACCTCCTAGCAAAAGGGAATACAAAAGTTATCACATGCGCTACCCTCTTCGTGACCATTTTCGTCAAGTTGCATTCAGGTCGAACTAAAACCTTGGTGCATGTGAAACCAAACAGGAAGAACTTTTGGATACCTAGAAAATCTCAAAAAATAATCTCTCGCAAGGGGGGTACACTTATCTTCCACTCAAAGCAACTAGGACTCCTTAGAGGTCACACTGGTCTTTATTATGCAAGCAGGCTCAGGTGTCCATTTCATACTCATGCCTCAAATAGCGCAACTGATCCTAACTAAAAGCTAATGAATGAGCAGTTTAAGAATCTGAAAGGAATAATCTTTCAAAATGCCCAGCCATGAGACCGCCCAATGTGACAGCAATGCCCACTGAATACGACTCTCAACAAAAGTTGCAAGACAGTATTCAATTGGCTATGCATATTAGTAACACAAAAACTGACTGTATCTCACCTCAGGTTTAAGATCCCGGTGAACCACGCCCTGAAGATGGCAAAATGCAACAACATTTAATATCTGTATCATAACAGCCTTTGCATCGTCTTCTGTATATTTTCCACCCCTACAAGAAAAGTGCATCGCTTGATTAGCCGTGAGGAGAAAACCAACTTTCTCCTTCATTGAATTCCACTTCTTTAGTCCGTCAATTAAGTTTAAATTAACTGAAAAATGATGTAGCTGCTATAAATTATACCTTGCAAGAATTTTATCCAGGAGCTCTCCTCCTTCACATAACCTGAAGAATGCATGATAATTCCCAACAAACCATTAAATAGATGCAAATACTATCAAAAAAAAAAAAAAAAAGAAAGAAAAGAAAAGAAAAGAAAAAGAAAAAGAAATGAAATTCAAAAGGTTCCAATCTGAATAAGCATCTAATGTACGAAAGAAGAAAAACAGAACAATTAGTACTTACTCCATTACTATATAGACATTATCATGATCTTCATAGGCATCATAAAACTGTACTAAATTGTTGTGTCCGGTCAATGCTCTCAATATTTTCACCTCCCTTCTCACATCCTCAATGGCAATTGCTGTAGTCATCTAATAACAAAAACAAAAAACACAATAAGCAAATAAAACTAATTGGCAGAACGCAAGTGTGAAATATCTAATAACATCAAGCAGCAAATGAATTAAAATAACCACAACTGATCCAGCTACTGCAGGAATTAATACAGAGAGAAACTACTCCATGCAGTTGAAACTTAAGAATGGAAACATCCTGATCAGACAAGTTACATCAAACATATTCTATCAAGTAATTTCTTCCTGAAAGTTTAACCTCTCAAAACTCTAAATTTCATCATCAATAAGCGTAACAGCACAAGCTAAAGATCTATGGCGATTGCACGATTCACATTTATCTATTAAATAAAAAACCTAACACATTCATCAAAAAGAACAAATTAAAAACTAACAACACACATATCCCTACAGATCTAACACACCAAAAACAACTAAATTTGAACCCTAAAATAACTCAATTATATATAATCACCTAACAAATAAACTAAAAACAAATACCTTTGCTTTAGGGATTACTTTAACAGCAACTTGTTGTCGTTCACCTTTTTTAAACTTAGCTTGACAAGTATATCCAAAATGCCCTCGCCCTACTTCATCTCCAAGCTCATACTTATTTCCAAAATGCTTAGAGAATCCAAATCTCTTATCTAAACCTGCCGCCTCCGCCTCGCTTCCCTCCGGTATCGCCGCCTCGTTCGGCTTCACCGATCCATGCCGCCTCGCAAGCGCTGCTCGTATATGCTTCGCCGGAGACGGCGGCGGGAACGGCCGTTTAAAAAACCTCTTCGGCGTCGAGTTCGCACTAGCCGCATTTCTCGCCGGAGATCTCGCCGGCGACGACTTTTTAGAAAAGAAGTAGTGAGCGGGGCTCGGACTGTAAAAAGGAAATAACGGCGACTTTTTAACGGATTCTAGCTCGGCCTTGTTGCTCTGATCGTCAACATTTCCGGTGCTTGGATCCGGTTTAGCCGCATCATTGGTAGCGATACAGTTGTCCTTAGCTTGGATGGCGACGGGAGAGGAGAGAGGAGAGTTTGGGGAGGGTTTTGAGGTGCAGACACCCATTGTTAAGCCTCTCCCCAAACAGAGAGAATGTTAGAAACGAAACTGAATTGGATTTGAATTACTTAAAGCATTTGATTTCCAAGTGAATTTAATTCTCTAGGGTTTTGGAATTTGAAAAAAAAAAACAGAAAAACAAAACAAAAACGTAAAGGAAATTGAAGTCTGTCTCTGGTGATTTGAGAAAGCGAGAGAGAAAGAGAAAGGACAAGGAGGGATCTGTAATTGTCAGATAAAAAGGTGAAGACGGTGTGTTTTGTTGTGCTTTCTGTTAAGCATAGTTTACTAATTTAATTAATTATGAAGTGTTGTTTTTGTGCTCTTCAAAACTCAACAAGTTTGGACAAACTTCAAATTAGCCCTCAAACTATCAAGATATTTCATTTATATACATCTAAAGAAAAACATCTCTATTTAAATTTCTAAAGGTTCATCAAATTCTCACCTAAGTCCCGGACACCAAACAAACCAAGCTGCCTATTTGTCTAATTCAATTAAAATTCGAGTTCAAATCTCGTTTTGTACTTGGTAAAAGTCAAATATTAGAAATTCAAATTCAACTCATTTAAATTTTATTAAATTCAAACTTCATTTGTGATTTGAGTCATTTAATTCTGATTAATAAACCTATAAGTAATACTATTTGAATTTTCCATATGCTTATTGAATTATAGACAAATTATTAGAGTGAAAACAATGAAACATGATAAATAAAAAATAAAAAAAGTACAAAATTAGTACCCCAACTGTCACAATTTTTTTTAAAAAAGATTAGTTTAAGATTTTATATAAAAAAAAAATCTAAGTCTATCTATCAATTTATTAATGATAAATAGTAAAATTTGTTTAAGTTTGACTTGTCAAAAAAGTCAAACAAGTACTAATTTTGTTGTAAATTTTGGATCAATCTCGAATTATTTTTTTGTTAATAAACACGCAGAGAACTTAAGGAATTTGTGAATATTTGAAAATTTAAATTGAGCAAAGGTATCTTTAGGGACTAAAATGAGAATAACTGGATAGTTGGGGGATTATTTTGAGGATTTACTAACAAGTCCTGTCAGCTTTCTGCTTTGGGGTGTTGGGTCCCAATGAGTACAGTGGATACACGTGGCACAAATTTGGATGGGTTGCCTTTTATTTGTTTTATTAAAATTGATTTTAATTGGTGCTTTCTGCTGTTGTTTTGGGGGTTAACGAACGGGAAACAGGGAAAGTTCCAAAATTTGTCTTAGTTTGGATAAATTGGATTTTTTTTTTTTTTATAAATTGTTTTTGGCCCTACAAAAAGGCCGCAGGGGGACCCAAAGTTAAAAGTCAAAAGCATGGCCCTTTTTATTTGCCCGCCCTTATTAGGCAACCACTAACCTTCTTAATTGATTTTTTATTAGTTTAATTTGTGCTTTAAAGTTTAAAACGTGAAATTAAAGTTCCAAAAGAGCGAAAATTAAAATTGGGAGGATGTTGACTTACGACAAAAAGAAAAACACATCAAATAATTCGTTTTCCTTTTACCAAATGGTTCATGATTTCTTCTTCTTCTTCCTTTTCCTGCCAACAAAAAATAATTTTGTTTGTATATATATATATATATATATATATATATATATATATATGAGATTTCTACTAAATTTAGGACAGAAGGATGATTATATTAATTTTCTTACTAAATAATTAGGTAACATTCACCAAAATATTATTTCTCATGTTATCATAAAAATATGATAAATGAATCTAATGTGGGAGTGAGACTAGTAAGATGAAAATAGATTGAATAAATAATTTAGTCTTTAAAAACTTTAAATGAAAATTAATAAATTATTAATTCAGTAGTAAGTCGAGTTAATTTTCGGATGAATTTTTTGTCAAAATAAAAAGTTTGAACTTTAAAATTATACTTATTAAAAATGATTAAATTTTATAGTTTTTCTTTCAAACATGATTAGTTATATATCTCAGTAAAGCTAAAAAAAAAAAATCAAGTAAATGGTCTAATATAAATTAAGTGAAGTTTTGAGTAATTAGATATGTTTATGGGTAGAAGGAGCGGCTCTATTCACAAGAAATTGTCACGGATGATGGCGGGGTGCATAAGGGTTTGTTTCCCCTTATAGCGGGCTTACACTATAACATGAATCTTTTTCTAGTCCATATAAAATTCAAGGTCCCTCTCTCTCTCTCTCTCTCTCTCTCTCTCTCTCACACACACAGGTGCATGAATGTTTTGTCTTTTATTTTATTTATTTATTTATTTATTTGAAATATCCATATTAAAAGTAAAAGGAAATATTGGAAAGATCTCTAACATGGGATATGATATAAATTAATTTGATGGGAGTGTTTTATTTTTTGGACATAACAAAGTATTTTATTTATTTATTTGTAACCAAAGCTAACGGTTTTATATTTCTTGTTTTCAATAAAATTGGAACTTGGATTTGATGTTTATAGCAACTAATGCAAAGGGGTAGGTATAAGTATTTATTTATTTATTATTGTTGTTGTTGTTGTTATTGTGGTATGCTATCTTTGCACGAAAATGGCCAGGTTCTGGATTGGATGCCTTATTGCCTTATGATGCAGTCAGCCTATAATTGTCAACAAAAGCAAAAAATATAAAATAAATGAAAGTCAACCAAACAATGCATGTAGAGCGTAGTAGCGGTGCAGCAAATCTAAGGTGGCCATGTGACATACGATCTTTCCTGTAATTAAAAACCAGATTTGATTTTGTCAAAAAAGAAAAAAAAGAAAAAAAGGGTAAATTCCTTATAATTGTGATAATCAGTAGCTTGGTGAAGACCCTTAAATTACAATCAATATGGTCATGCTTTTGCCCATTTCATCTCTGCCTACTTTCAACAAGACTCATTCCAATGGGTGTCTTATTCCCTTTCAGAACAGTTTCAAACTTTGAAGATAGAAACGCACACAAGAGCATGAAGGAATATTCATCTCACAATTTGCCATGCTTATATCATTTATAATGCAATTTCTTGTTGCTATGTGATCTCATTCATTATGCAATTTCTGATTGAAAAATACCAACTCCATTTGAATTGACAGACTCCTTTCTATGACAGGTATATTTGACCTTTTTTAAATAAATAAAAAAAAAATTAAGAAGTAGTAGTGGAGGATGGAAATTAGGTCAGTATGTCTTTATGTTTTATGAATTGTTATTTATATATTTTGATATATCAAATAGCATCTAATTTGTACATAAATATATGTATAATCTCTGATAAGTTCTTTTGTTAAAAATTTTAATTCAAATTAAAAGATTTTGATATGTGATTTACACGTATGACATTGCTTAGAAAAGAATAAATCGATGATCGAGCTGCTCTTGAGAAATTATGTTAAAAGTGATTAAAAAAATAAAATTTGGAGTTAAATGGGTTTGTTTAACATTTATTTTGGATACTTTTATCTTTATCAAGTAAATAATTATTTTTAAAAATTTTTGGAGTTACATGGGTTTATTTTGTTAAAGTTTTTCAAATATATGTAAGTAAATAAGTATTTTTTTATAAACAATAATGATTTTATAATAGTTAGAAAATAATTATTATTTTATGTGCAACTCATGTGTTAAGATTTATTAGTTTGAATTGAAATTTATGTGGAAATATATATCGAGCCTATAATCATATTTAGAGATATTTATCAACACATAAGTACATATGAAAGTATATTTGGATTAATTTTGATAATAATTGAAATTAAATTTATTATTAATCTTTTTAGTTAAGTTAATGTCAAAATTTGTCTATTTTTTTTATTGATCGATCACTAATATATATATATATATATATATTACCAAACCAACTTATATATTTCTATCCAATTGAAAGTACACCACCTTCTTTATTGTGGAATTTCATCAATACGCGTTAATTTCACTAACTACTATATAACACAATATTTATATTATAATAGCCATGTGTTTTTTGATTGATTCCAAGATCATCTAGAAGAAGTCAATTCATCTTCTCAATCATCAAGAATCGTCTAAAAACGAAAACATTTCACTTGAAATGAAACGACAATTTATTTCCATTCCTAATCCTAACGAGGAAAAAAACATTATCTAATTGGTTATAACTTTTGCGTTTTAAAATTCAAAAAGTAAGATATTCAAGTCATGAAATAACTTTTGCGTTTTAGAATTCAAAAAGTAAGATAAAGTCATGAAAGTGAAGGCTTATGCCTATTTAAATTTCAAACGCAAAATTCAGAATTTAATAGGTAAAAAGGTAAGTATGTTATAAAATAATTAATGTATGTAAATATTCATATTTATTTTATATCTTTACTACTCATAATTTTTAAAATGATTCAATTTATTATTCAATATAAAATTTTTAAAAATAATGCATTTGACCTTTAATTGTTCGTAATTCATTCGGATTTTCTTCCTAATTTTAAAAATATAAATAGATCTCTTTGTTTATTAATATGGGCAATACAGTTTTTGTAAAATAAATAAAATAGTTATTTTAAAATTGGTATCACCTGTATTCATTTTTTTTGACATTTCTATAAATTTTTTTCTCCAATTCTTTTACTTTTACTTTTATACTAACAATTTTACTACTACTACTATTATGTTTTTTAACAAAGTATATATAATTTTTTTCTTCACTAAACAGTTTTACCCATCCGAGCATTAAATCTCTCATTTATTCGGTATTACATAGGCCATAAACAACCGATAATGACTTAAGCAAGTGTAAATAGTGATCATAATTATTATGAATTTATTTAAGATAACCAGTTTCAGTATTCATTAGTAAATCCAATGAGGAGGACTATTAATTCTCTGAAGACCGAAAAATTTTAAATTTTAAGATAACCAATTTATTTAAGGGATCAAGTAGAACACACACTTGCAAGGAGACACGAACATCATATTTGTAGTTTCTGTTGTTTGTTCTTCTCCCGCCTCAAAATGGTGTTATCTTTGATTAGGATAGGGTATATAATAATTAATGGTTGCT